CATGGGGCGAAGGTACCCTGTGCTGTGTTACGTGTGAAGGCACTCCGTGCTGTGTATCACGTGGCGAAGGACGCTGTGCTGTGTGTCACGTGTGAGGGTCCTCCCTGCTTGTGTCACGTGATGAATGTGCTCTGTGCTGTTGTCACGTGGTGAAGGTACTCCGCGCTGTGTGTTACTTAAGGTCTCCGCGCTGTGTGCGGTAGGGTAGGATCTAGGTGCCGGAGAAAGTTTCACGAAGTCTTCGAGTGCTGTTTCACGAAAGACAGGGTTGATAACATTTCCAAAACGTTATTCAGGTCCAAGTATTGCATGGTGCTTATCATCCACCCTCTCGATTTGGACAGCCAGTGCGAAGGAATGCGTTGTAAGGCGCCCACTGCTCTCGTCCGGATAATATACCGTACAGTCTCATCCAGCGATACGGCTCCCAACACGGCGTGACCCCTCCAAGCCCGGCGGGAAGGTGACATCCGCGGGGCCGCGTGACGCGTGACGTCACGGTCCGTCCGGCGAAGAGGCCGGTGATCCACTGACCGCAGCCCTGCTCGTCGCTGGAGTCGGCGCACTCCACCGCGCCGTTACACACCCTCGACTCGGGAATGCAGCGGCTGCCGTCGGCGCATCGGAACGCGCCGGCCCGGCACTGCAGCTCTGCGACCGAGAACACGGGCTTGAGGGGCACACGCCACCGGCACTGACCGCCTGCGGCTGGCGCTCACTTCAGCAGGAGGCACCGAGAGACGAGAGGTCAATCAGGCCTGCTGCCGAAAACATTGCACGACGTTGATGTTAAAGGCATGTGGGCCTGACTCACCTAAGATTGAGATCATGTCTCCGCATGACGGGTTGTATTAAAGGAGGCCAGCACCAAGCAAATGTCACATCCACAGTGGTTCACGACCGCAATGCCAACCAAACCCAGATGCAGTATGTACGGTCCGTCATGGGGCAGCTAGCCGGCCACGAAGAAAGTACTGCGTGTGATGAAACACACACCAATGTGTGGTGGAACAGCGTTTGGCTCATTCGCGCCGGGGCACAATTACATCTTCGTGGTTGAAATGAATACCCTACGCAACTACAGTCAGTCCCCGGTGGCCAGCATAAGGCCAGTGGGCCTTGATCAGCTCCTTGTGCGGTTAGAATAACTCTGGCGAGCCTAAAAACACGGCCCCCCGCGCCCCGGAATATTGCCAGTCCCATCTGGATGCAGCCTGTGGGGCCAAGTCGGCCCCTCGCCATTCAAGTGTCAGTTCCATACGGTTCGACTCGGCCCGAGTGTGCGCGAGTCCACCCGTGGTACTGAGGCGTCCCGGCGCTCGGTTGTCGTGTCCGGGTGCCGTTGATGACCATGTCGGGGAGGGGGGGGGGGGGGGGAGGCTCCACTGACCGCAGTTCTCGTCACTTCTGTCGCGACAGTCTGGCGAGCCGTTACACACACGGCGGAGTTGGGCACGCAGTTCTGGCCATCCGCACAACGGAACTCGTCCGCTCCGCACTCCAGCTCTGCAACGCACCACAGAAACAATCGTCGGAAGGCCGACCCAGGGGAGCACACCGTGGCATCATTAGCTGTAGGGCAAGATGTCGAGCATGAAGGTGTCATTAATACCTCCATCGAATCAAGCAATCAAAACTGAGCATACACCCGAAGCATTACAGCACATGACATCAGCGAGCACGTGATATGCCAATAATCCACAACGCCCCTTGTCGAAAACGCCAAAAACCCTCAGGTCACCCCGAGACGCCTTCGGAGCCGCGGCCGACGGTAGCTTGCCGCGGCGCGGCCGGCGCTCGGCGCTCGAGCTCGGGCTCACCAACAGTCCCTCTCGTCGGAAGCCGTCGCGGCAGTCAAATCGGCGGTCGCAGCGTCGCGACAGCGGCACGCACTGCCCACTCTGGCATCGCCACTGGTCAGCTGTGCACGCTGCAGAGCGCGGAGACGTCGAGTGAGGAGAGAGAGCGTGGGGGGGGGGGGGGCGGCCCGTTCTCCCGCAGCCGCGCGCGGGCAGCCACGAAACAGGAGCACCCACCACGCACCGACGACTCCAGTAACGTATTCAAGCGCTTGGTGGTCAATGCTCCGCACCATAACGACCATTACTTCCCACAAAAGTCAGCGTGATTTGACGTGTTTTCACTTCTGATTAAGCGGCCCGGCGGCCCGGCAGCCAGGTCTGCCGTTGTCGTGTGGGTAGGGGGGGAGGGGGGGAGGGCCACTCACCCGCACTGGAGCTTCGTCAGAGAGCCGTCCCTGCAGTCCGGGCGTCCGTCGCAGCGGCGACCCAGGTCCACGCACTCCGCCCGTGTGACAGCGCCACTGGTCCGACCGGCACTCTGAAGCCGTGACAGGCGGCGGGTCACAGGGAGTAGCAGGGTCCCGGAGCAGTGGCGGGCCCGCGGCATGCGACAGCGTGGCTGGTGGGGTGGCAGATCGTGCGGTGCGGCACGCGGATCGGAGAGCCCGCCGTCGGGTCCATGACAGCGTGGCCTGGTGGGGTGGCGGGTAGTGCGGTGCGGCACGCGGTTCGGAGAGCCACGCCGTCGCTCACGCGAGCGCATCGACAAACCGCCGGGAGCCAAGTCACGTCGGGGCAGCAGCAGCCGGCGGCGGCTCAGCTTAGTGGGAACCTCGGGCCGCCAATCAGGAGTAATCCGGCAGCGGCACATCTGAACGCGACTGGATAGTCTTAACATGGAGGCGAGTGTTGCGGCCCGGATCGAGGCGAGAGAGGGGACGAGACGTCGGCCGAGAGGGGACACGTACGGCAGTTGGCCTCGTCCGAGTAGTTCCAGGGCAGTCTGGCTGGCCGTCGCACTTCCTGGAGGCGGCACGCAGCGGCCATCGCCGCACTGGTGCTCCTCCACCCGACACGAGCTGAGGGGGTGGCAAGGCAGGCTCACAAACAAACCACCCGTCGGGGGCGTGAACGGGTTGTGTCTGACCACGCACGCATAGCTGATTCTCACTTTGTTTTTTCAGTTGAAGTTGGACAGTATGCATCTTTTTGCACAAGCATCTTCGACCTAGGATTTAACTTTGCTGTATCTCCCTTCTGGAGGTGACCAGGGGGTTCCCTCCACTGTCGCAATGAAGAACACCATTCCATGGAACCAAGTTGGAAACCAGGTATACTATGCACAGCTGTTGGTTTGACAGATAAACTACTCAACTTTGCGGTGCATCTTACTACTGCAGTATGCGATTGGGTTGACGCACACATAGTTTTACCCCCCTGCGGACACGACAGTGGACCCTCCCAAGCAGCCGGCGCAGTGCGCAGCGGGCGAACATACGTCTGCAGTTCTGCTCGTCACTGTAGTCCCTGCAGTCGTAAGAGAGGTCGCAGACGCGCGTGCGGGCAATGCACGAGCCGTCGCCGCACCGGAACTCGGTGTCGTCGCAGGCTGTCGGCCGAGGAACGCAGTGACACACTGCCGAGGTGACAGTCGGACGGAGCTTGGGGCGTCACAAGGGCGACACGTACCAGCCCCGGTCCACACAACGACTCCGCCAGGGCGCATGAATTCAGTCGGAAACATCGCGACATTCCCAAAGAGGATGCGACATGACTATTCTAAAGCTGCGGATCCGAACCAGGTTGACGCTGTTCGGCTTCACTGGCTGGTTATTAGTGTTGTTGGTTGTCTTTGGTTGGTTGTTAGTGTCCACATTATCGTGCTTCTGCTGGCTGCTGCAGGCAATTGTTGTTACGGTCATTCGGCTCGGAAGCGAATCAGGCCGTAGTATCAGTCGTTGTCAACATCCACGGCCAGCGCAGCCTTCCTCCTCACTAGCTGCCGTGACCGCTCGGTGGGCCGCTATGCAGCGCAGTAAGCTGATGCGAACACCACTCAGCAGCCGAAGGACGTGCTTTCAACGCGGCGCCCTCCACTTGACAGATGACACAAACGCTCTTCTTGGAAATACCCTTCGTTCTTCTTTGCTCCGTCGTCAATCCAGTTATTCAAAAGAAGGCGGCAAACGGTTAGTGTTGCGTCAGAGGTGCTTCAAGCCACACGGCCGAGGGCGGATCTGGGTCCGGGGGCGGGGCGGTGCACGAGGCGAGAGGGGTCGACGCGGGATACCATGGGCGCCACCGACGTCGGCGGAGGCGAGGAGCCAGCCGCGTCACGGGACCCAGTGAGAGGGTTCGGGTGGAGACGGATCCGTCCAGCTGCGGGGACGGGAAGGACGTGGCCAGCGTTGGCAGGCCGTCCCCGGGAGCCGCGCTCACTCACGACAGTCTAGCTCGTCGCTGCCCTCCGGACAATCAACCTCGCCATTGCAGCGCTTGTCCGAGGCCACGCACGGGCCGCTCTCGCAGCGGAACTGCGGGGCCCTACAGATGCCTCCTGTTGACACGGCACAGCGTGTGACCAGAGCTGCCCGAGGACCCGGAGGTGGAGATGGATGGACATTACGGACAGCTGACTGTGGTGCTCAGGGGCCACTGCATGGCGTCAACGTGGGCTTAAATATGTGAATTTCGTAGCCAACTCCATGGAACGTTTGGCTGAGCCTTGGCACCACAGACTACTCGCAACTGCATTGTAGTTATTAGAGCTGGAACTAAGGGCACGTTGAAAGAGCACAAAAAACAACACAATATTAACGTCTCCAGGTTGTCCGTTTATGTGATAACAATGACGGACCAATGAGAATCGAATGGATCCGCATGGCAAGAGCGAATCGGACATTTCAGAACGACGTCCAAACGCGAAAGAGAGGCCGGGATAGAGCAGCCAATGACAGCAGAGCTGCGAAGGACATGGCGGCGGGGGAGGAGCGGATCAGGCGCGGCGTCGCTCCGCCCGTACCGCAGCCTGTCTCGTCCGAGCCGTCCGCACAGTCCGGCACTCCGTCGCACAGCCGGCGGCTCGACACGCAGTGGCCCTCGCGACAGCGCCACCGGCCGGGTCCGCAGGGCGACGCGGCCGTCGGCAGCAGCTGGTCGTCGTCGGTCGGGTCCGGCCCGTAGTCGCCGCCGTCAGGGTCGCTGTCCACGGGGCCTGAGTCGGGCAGCTCCGGAGCCGGCTCCGGCAGCCCGGAGCCGTCGACGTCGGACCCGGCTGGGCGAGCGGCGGGCAGGGGTCGGTCGGCATCGGCACCACAGGTCGCCACGGTCAGCCCGCGAAATAGCTACCCGCTTCTTTACGTGCTTCCCTTCTCATCGTGAAGAGAGCAAATCTGGTGCTGACATTTGCACGTTCTCCCTTTCCATCAAGCTGCAGCTGACGCTGCTGCCTATTCTCAGACATTTATCTTCATCAAACAGGCGACACTCTGCCTACCCAGCAGGAGTTCCTCCCTTTCCATCAGACAGATAGGCGGGGCCGCCACCTATCCCTATTGTAGGTGCCCCCTCGTACCACCTGTGGATGGGAGCGACACGCAGAGGCACAGCCAGAGTGTGAGGGGCGTCCCCCCCCCCCTCCTCTAAGGCCCGTAATTTGTTTTACTTTAGCATCATAGGCGGCTCCTTGGGTCGTCTTGTGATGAGTGCTGATTAGCTTCAGCACCCTGCTTTGGCCCAAATTTGGGCGAGCGAAACAGCACGTCGCACAAGCCCAGATGAGAAAAATAGGCACAACGCAATCAAAAACAGCGGCGCCCGCCTCACGCCGCCTTCATAACTTCAGCAAACTGGCCGAAGTGATATCGCGTAGCGGATTGGCGAAAACTCAAAATAAACACCGCGCGCATGCCATGATCTACGAGCCCGGTCAAAGTGCGCAACTGGTGGCGCGTTCGGCCAGCTGGCGCGAGCCGTGGAAGCGGCCAGCCAGCGTCCGTCCGTGTCGGGACCCGCCCTGGCGAGCGGACCCGCCACTCACCGCAGTCGCGCTCGTCCGAGCCGTCCGCGCAGTCCGGGATCTGGTCGCAGCGGCGTCGGGCGTCCAGGCAGGTGCCGTCGCCACAGCGGTGCTCATCGGCCGTGCATGCCACCGCTGGCAGCAGCACGCACGTCACACACGAGCACATCCACGCCCACACCCACACCCAAACACTGGGCAGCACGGCTACGTATAGGCTATACCGCCGCCCGTCAGCGCAAAACCCCTACATATATATATATATATATATATATATATATATATATATATATATATATATGCCCCCTCCCGCACTCTCAATTATGCACACACCTAGCCATGTACAAAATACTAGTCGGTTCTGGTGAGGAATTTCACGCTAGCAATAACGGTAAGCGACCATGCGGTGCCACCGAGCGGGACGCCACGAAAACTGACGCGCCAGTGACATGCCACCGTGATGTCTCAGAGCACATGGCTGGAAGCAAGGTTGGGGTGTCTGTTGTCAAATGACCTGTAATGATCCGCATGGCCCGTAATGACCCCGTGATCTGGATGATGAATGGTCCTCATACTCCCCAACACTGCGTGCAGCAGCAAGGTTTTCCACTACTACAATGGCTTTGGAGCATGCTTACGCGGGCATCCCTCCTCGTCATCGTAGTCGGCGCAGTCAAAATTGCCGTCGCAGCGTCTGGCCGCACTCAGGCAGGTGCCGTCCAGACATCTGAACTGGCCCTCCGGGCACGCTGTAATATGGCAACCGGTGACGTCAGATGACAGCCGGTGACGTCAGACCTACGTCAGACCGCGATCGGTCACCGGCCTACTGCTGAGAAGATCGGGAACAACGGACGACGCAGAAGACGGGGTTTGGACGCTGGAACGGTAGATATCGCTTTAGGGAACGCGATAAGCCCCTCACTTTTGAGACAAGGACGTTGATTGAAATCAGGCATCAACGTGATCACTGAAGTGGAAATTGCAAATCCTACTTACCGCAACAGCAAGAATTTAATTACCACGCGCTTAAACCATGATGTCTTGATCAATTATTCTCCAAATGGCGAACCTTGTTCACATCGTCGATACTTGCTGCGGATTACAGCTGAATTCAAAAATGGACTCCATGCCTTAGGAATCCACTTGGTGTTATTATGAAATAAGGAGTCCACTTCGCGCTGAGTTATATTTGTGCAACGTTCGGCCGGAGCACCACAACACTACCTAAGCTCGGCCGGAGCACCACAACATTACCTTACCTCGGCCGGAGCACCACAACACTACCTAACCTCGGCCGGAGCACCACAACACTACATAACCAGTTCGGAAGCCAGCTGGCGTCGTGCAACACTGCAAGCGCATCACAGAGAGGACGAAACCATGCAAAGGAAGAAAGCAGCCACAAGAGAGTTATCGACAGTGTTGGATAGAGATCGCCATGCATTTGGACGTCGGAAACATGCTTCCATTCAACGACATGCGAGCCGGCAGCAGGGCTTAGCTCGAAATATACAGCGAATGACGCACCTCGCACTCAGTGCCAGGCATCATAGCAGCTTAAAGAGGGGTCATAGCAGCGCCAACGCACCAACCACCAGATCCATAGAGGAGGAGATATTGACCATGCAATGTCGAGAGGAGCCAAGACAGCACGCTTGAAGAAAGAAAGAAAGATATTCTCAACCCAAAAATCCGCGACAGACCAGCGGTCTCGCAGTAGGACATCAAGGCCATGCGGCGAGCATGCTGAGACGGCAGCGAAGTGGAAGAATCTCTGATTCTCTCCCAGAGGAGAGGCCGGAAACGCACCAGTGCAAGGAGCGTGCGGTCCAACCCAAAGGCGGCCGAGACGGCCGTGAGACGACTCAGAATGAGAGCAACCGTATGAGTCATCCCTCTGAGCTGCAGGGGCAGGAGGAGGGGGAGGGGGAGCGGGGCAAGAGGACCGTACCGCAGTCGACCTCGTCGACGCCGTCGATACAGTCTCGGACGCCGTTGCAGCGGGCCGAGGCGGGCACGCAGGCGCCGTCTGAGCACGTGACGTCCTGGGGTTCGCAGGCCGGACGCGCTGCCGGTTAGCCGGCCGTCAGTGGTGTGTGTGCGGAGGGGAGGGAGGGCGGCCAGACGTTAATGGAGCCAGACATTTGGTCGGTGGCGGCGTTAATGGCCAACCAGCCATGAGCAGAATGTCCAGCCAGCTGGCCGGTAATGGGCGACAGGCTCCCGCTAACGCCACCCGAGCTCTCAAAAACAGCGCACAGACGCTGGACTTCCAGCCTGCGAGCGTGACGCAGGGCGTACGCCGCCGAAGTTGAAAGTATATGCCAGATGTGCTGCTGGGGGAGAGCGGCCCGAACCAGAAGGCCTGAGTTATTGCATACTGGAATGAGCCAAACAACACCCATCTTCGACGACCATCACCACAAACGAGCCACCAATGGGGTGAGCTCGACCAGCAAGGTCCATCGTCTCCCGGCCGTTGGCACCGAGGAGGCGCCGCCTGGCCGGCCAGACCACCGCGGGAGGGCGCCACAGCTGCGGTACGTACTGCAGTTGGCCTCGTCACTGTTGTCAGCGCAGTCAGGAAAGCCATCGCAGACGCGGGCTCTGTCCACGCACTCGTCGGTCGAGGTGCAGGTGAAATCCTCCCCGCAGGACGGCACTGAGCGGACAGGTTGGTCAGGCGACCTCCACGGTAGACGGTCCGGAGGTGTTCAGGGGCACCCAGTTAGCTGACGTATGCCGGGAGGTAGGCCCATACCAAACTCTGTGTGTAGCTCAGGTCACACAGAAAATGTCTCCCACCTAGCGGCACGTCCAGCAGCACGGCTTGTTAGTTGCCTACACCGAAAAAAATGTTCCAAGAAGGCTCCGGATGGCAATGACGCCGTCTGGCGTGACTGGGCCCCAAGGTTGAGCTGTAGCCGCCAGCGACCGCCGTGAGGAAGCGGCGTTATCAACAGCCACACTCGGCCAGTTTACCGGCCGACATCATGGCCCTCCCAAAACGCTGGTCCCGGCTCGTCTGACGGCGGCGGGCAGCACGGGCGGCGTGGACGAAGGGGGCAGGTGGAGAGAGGACCCAGGGGGAGGGGGGGGGGGCGGCGGACCGGACCACGTACTGCAGCCAGCCTCGTCCGACCCATCCGGGCAGTCGTAGGCCGAGTCGCAGCGCCGCCTGCCGGGCACGCAGCTGCCGTCCGAGCAGCGGAAGTCATCGGCTTCGCACAGCGTCGGCGCCGGACCTTGGGGGCGGCGGCGGAGTGAGCGGCATCCGACACCGGGACACAGGGGGCTCCACTACGACCTGAATCCGGGACACCAGTGGGGAGCAACGCGGCGCCGGCCCAGCGGGGCAATTTCAAAATCTTGTCATATCGTTATCTTGCTTTTTGGATGACATGAATATGTGCATACAACTCAACTCTGTCACTACAGACAGTATACCATAAATCATAATGCAATATAGGTGAAGGCAAAGTAATCAAAACGTTTTTGTCAAGTTGCAACTAACTGTATGTGTCATGAAAGGACCAGGATAACATTTGAAATATGCTCAACGGAGCGCAAGCGTCCCAGGATATATGACATTCATTGCAATTCACTTAAAAATAGCACGCTTAAAGATTCCACAATTCATCCTTCTGGCATAGCCACATCTTTGCTCTAAGGTTTGTGAGCATCAACGCGCATTGTACATTCCCCCAGCACCGTGACCAACAGTAACCACCGATCGCCATACACCTCAGGGTGTTTGCAGCAGGACATTGCAACAGAGGCCACTGCATCGACGTCCCCTGGAGGAGCTAAGCTCCGAAAGACTCACCACTTGGACAACGATTTCTATCCTCGTCAGAACCATCAATGCAATCCGGGAAGCCATCACAGGCTCGCGTGAAGGGAATACAGGAGCCGTCGCTGCAGCGAAACTCCTCCGCGCTGCAGCCAGCTGTCGGAGCCGGACAGGGCCGCGCCCAGGTCAGACAGGACAGACAGGACAAACGAGACAACGACCCGGTAAGACAGAACAGACAGAATGCATCCAGTTCGGACAGAAATGCCATGACCAAGTCCAGGTCACACAAGACAGATAAAACAACATCCCAGTCAGACAGAACAAATAACGCCGTATCCCGGTCAGGCATAGAAGACGGGACCACGTCCGACTCAGACAGGCCAGACAGAGCCACGTCCAGGTCAAACAGGACGGCACCAACCCACGACCAGGTCAAACAGGACAACACCAAGCCACGTCAAGGTCGGACAGGAAAGAGAGGAATCATTCATGTTGGGCAGGATTTCCAAACAGAACAGGACCTTGTCCTGGCTAGACTGGCCCGACAACAGACAGGGATGAACTCGTGTCAGATAGGCAGGTCAGGACAGAAAACAACCATGTGCAGAACGTACAGGGCAGGCAGAAGCGAACCAAGCATTACAGTGCGTTTCTACATCAGTCGGGGCAAACGACTACATGTAAGACAGCCAGACGGATCCCAGGAAAAACGGGACACACGGCAACATATCACCAGATCAGGAAAACGGCGGGACCAAAGCCAGGTCAGGTAAGATATGACAAGACTCCGATCAAACGGAGCCCTATCTAGGCCGCTGCACTAGCATCACATTCGAATGGGACAAGCCTTTGGACGGGTTGGACAGCATAATGCGCGGGTTAGACTGAACAGTAACCCTCCTCACATTTGTATGTATGTAGGTTGACCAAGTTATTCGTCATGCTGAGATTCTCTCGGAACGACAAAATCTCCTCTCTGCCTTATAAATCAGCATTCTGTCATTGCTGTCGACCATTCTTCCAACCAGTAAAAACGCGCAAAGAGAGGCGGTTCTCGGTAACACCCATGCCAACTGGTCGATGTCCTCCATTGGGACCGTTCGGCTGTGAGCGGGGCAACCGAATGGAAGTCAAGTTCGAAACCACGATAGCTTGCTTTCACCATCCGGCCACGTCCATGCGGCGGCCGCGGCGCGGGCCTGTTACCAGACGCTGGAACTGTCGCGACAGCGGCGGTCTGGCGGCGGTGTTTCGAACCAGAGCTTCCGGCGCGACTCACCGCAGTTGTTTTCATCCTCACCACCGGCGCACTCGGGCACGCCGTTACACTTCTGCGCGATACTGAGACAGGGCCCGTCATCGCAGGCGAACTGGTCCGGACGACAGCGTGGCGCTACAGGAGAGGGCGTCCCCAGCGTCACCGCCACCGTCACCGTCGCTCCGACACAGCGCAACAGCGGCAACCGGCACCGTCACATCACAGCCCCACAGCCCCACGGCACAACAGCACCGGAACGCGGCAGCGACAGTAGACTGCACCATCTCAGCAGGACAGAGCCGAGAAATCTTGCCCAAGGAAGGCTCAAGGCGGGTTTTCTCTCCCGTTTTGTTCCATGCAATGGCTTAAGCGCAATGCTTAAGCCTCCCAAACGATGGATGGGGCGTTTCTGAGCCTATAATAAGGCAACAGTTCCCTCAACCGTGCACCAGTCTAACAGAATGGCACGGCAGGAGACAGCACATAGCAGCACATCAGGAAAGGACACAGCGAAGCAGGAGACAGCACAGAACGGCACAGCAGAAGACACAGAGCAGCACAGCAGGAGGGGGCACGGCGCAGCGGGAGACAGCACGGAACAGCACAGCAGGAGAGGACACAGAACAGCAGGAGACAGCACATAGCAGCCAGTATCGCCGCAGGTACACTCAGAACGCCGAGCAGCTGTGACGACACACTCAGAGCGCCGAGCAGCTGTGACGACACAACATATAGTTACGACAATCCCTCGGACGTCACGGTGTCCCCGCCCATGTGCAAAACGAGGCCACGACGACAAAGTTCCATCGCGAATCACACTTGAGCATGGTAAGCACAGCAGAGGAAGCAAGAACCCGCTCCCGGAAGGACATTATTTGTTCTTCCCATTTACCGATTGTCAATGTGACAAACACGAAATTCATGCAACAGGACAGCACACACTAAACGATGACGGATAGCGCACATGTGCTCATGCGCCTCGTCCCCGTCGGGTCGTCCCTTAGTGCACCCGTGATGCACGCCGGTTCAAACCAGTCGCAGTACACTGAGCGCTGAACGCGCGTCGGTCTCGTCTCATGGCGCGCGACGGACGCGGCGGGCGAGTAGGGGCACATCACCGCGCAGCATCACTCGGCCTCGTCTCATGGCGAGAGACGGACGCGGCGGGTGGGGAGGGGCACATCACCGCGCAGCATCGCTCGGTCTCGTCTCATGGCGAGAGACGGACGCGGCGGGCGAGGAGGGACACATCACCGCGCAGCATCACTCGGCCTCGTCTCATGGCGAGAGACGGACGCGGCGGGCGAGGAGGGACACATCACCGCGCAGCATCACTCGGCCTCGTCTCATGGCGCGCGACGGACGCGGCGGGCGAGTAGGGGCACATCACCGCGCAGCATCACTCGGTCTCGTCTCATGGCGCGCGACGGACGCGGCGGGCGAGTAGGGGCACATCACCGCGCAGCATCACTCGGTCTCGTCTCATGGCGAGAGACGGACGCGGCGGGCGAGGAGGGACACATCACCGCGCAGCATCACTCGGCCTCGTCTCATGGCGCGCGACGGACGCGGCGGGTGGGGAGGGGCACATCACCGCGCAGCATCGCTCGGTCTCGTCTCATGGCGAGAGACGGACGCGGCGGGTGGGGAGGGGCACATCACCGCGCAGCATCGCTCGGTCTCGTCTCATGGCGCGCGACGGACGCGGCGGGTGGGGAGGGGCACATCAACGGGCGACATCGCCTTCCGCTCGAGGCGCAGTGTTTCATCGATGATGATGATGGAAACCCCCGCCGCGCCCAGTTTTTTTTTTGAAGCGTGCTAGAAGGCCTGAATACTATTTGGCCGATGAGCTGGGACACGGTGACAGCATAGCGGGCCACTTAGGTGGCAGCGCCAGTGCTAACACAAGGCCTTGCTTGATGAGGACCTGGACGCTATCCCCATAAGCAATTGGTCTGGCTACGCTTCCTAAAACAAGTGCAGGCTACTTGCAATGTACAAATGAGTTGAATAATTTGCCGAACGAATGAACCCAATGAATGATATGAATGAGTTGTATGAATCGAACGAGTCAAATTGATGAATGACATGAATGAACTCGATCAATCAAATGAGCGAACTAAATGAATCGAATGCGTGAATTAAATGACTCGATCACATTAATCAAACGAGCCAGATCAACACAAATGCAAGAATGAATGATTGCATAACAAATAATGCGTCATAGCATGAATGAACGGGGCAAATGCGAATAAACTGGTCTCCCTTTAGCTTGGTGGAGTCAGCACTGCGAAGCTCTGCTCTGATCGAAGTGAATCTGCATGCCCTCTAACATCCATTCTTTTACGTTTTCTGTGCGATAACACAAAGCAATTGCGTAGCTTGCATTTGCTGTTTTCGCAGATATTGATACGCTGAAGGCGTTGAAGCCGACTCGATATTGAAATCGGTACCCAATGCCGTGTCATAACTTGTAACAGGCAAATTTAATCGTGCCATGTCAAATGTCGAGTTGTACACATGCTCATGTTATAACACAAGTCTTCCTCAACGTGAAAAGTCACCAACCACATACATTTGGCCACGGAAACCTTCGGTTCCGAGTGTACCTATCGCCTTATAACCTGAGAGTCACAGCTGGACAGCAGTCGGGAAGCAAGGAGCCCACCCTGCTCATGCTGTTAGGTGAGGGGTGCCAGCAGTAAGAAGAGAGAAGTACGCAGAACTCAACGGAACTGTAAACCAAGTAGCATGCGAGGGTGTCATACATCAACGGTGGGAAGAACGTCAACCACCACGAAACAAAGTGAGATGAATAGGTAAGAAAGATGTTAGCATAGAACCCCACATTAGACGTTATTGTTGGAAAGCTTCCGAGGTGTGCACCGAGAGTGGCGTGAGAGACACGGAGGTCACCAGCGTTGATAAAAGCGGCAGCACCAAGGTCAGTTAAGGACTTACGGCAGCCGATTTCATCGGAGCTGTCGGGGCAGTGAATGGTGCCGTCACAGCGCAGGCCGGCGTTGATGCACGTGCCATCGGCGCAGGAGAACTCGCTCGTCGCGCATGTGGCCGCTACAACGCGACCGGAGTGCTCAGGGGTGGCACAAGTACGCCCCGACGCACTGGCACACGGAACTAACCTGCACATGGAACTAACACCAAACGGGAGGGGGGGGGGGGGCAAGGGTAACGGACGGCAGCGGTGTGAAGACGGGGCGAGGGTAACACATGCAAGCTGGGCTAAACGAGTTAGAAACAATGCCGCGTAATTATGGTAAAATAAAAACAAGGTAGTGTAAAAAATCAGCAATCAAACCTGGAAGCTAAGCAGGCCAGGAACGTGGCGCTGGCTTTGTTACACCGAGCTTTACGAAGCTCTGTCGGAATGCTTTTAAATCAGTGAGCAAAACGTCGTCATACCAGCCAAACACACATCACAAGCAAGCACAGACACTGAAGCAACAGGTAAGACATCCGAACGCCACACCGGCAGCCGCAGTAGCTGACATCGACAGTGCGTGTGCAGCACGGATGGGCTGACTGGCAGCGGTAGCCGTCAACCAGGCGGGGCCTCCAGGAACAGGCGGTGCCACGCGCGCAGAGGCTCGCAACAGTCGGCCGTGTGGGCCACGCGCAGGCAGCAGTACTACTGGGCCGGACCGCGTCGCAGACGAGTTTGGGAACCACGGGCAGCAGGCACCCGCCTGACCCGCGACACTGCCCTGGGACTTCGGCACCGAGGGCAGTGTCGTGACCGAACAACACCAGCGGACGTGGCATGGGGACGGAGAGCTGCCACCGTGGAGGCCCAGAGAGCGGCGGTGCGCCGGCGAGGAGTCCGCCGGGTGCCCGAGGCGGAGGAGAGCCAGTCACCGAGAGGCCAAACAGAGACCCCGAGTGAACCATCACCTAGAGAAGGTCCACCAGAGACCGCCACCGCAGAAACCGCCGGAGACCACCGCCGGAGATGGCGCGCGGAGACCGGCGGCTGCCGCATGCAGGCCATGCCGAACACGGCAGTCCGCAGCCCTGCGCTACGCTACACCGAGCCGGAGTGGGACGGCCGAGCGTCGGCAGTGCGCTCTAGCGGCCGGCGATTGAAGTGTTAGTTGGCTGTACGCCGACAGACTGCGTTAGAGTACGAAAATGGCCTTACGACAGTTCTGCTCGTCTGTGCCGTCCTGACAATTGCGAATTCCGTCACATTTGTACTTGAGTGTGATACAGTATCCATTGCCGCATTCAAATTGGTCTTCACGACATTCTACGGAAAAGGATCAACACCATACTGTCTGAAGCTGAGTGGCATTATCAGGCACCAGTCCACCAATTGCCAACCGAACTCAACTGATCTCGATGTCAGATACGCACGCAGCATGCAAAGTATACAAGAAGAGCACTGCGAGAGGTTGGCACACTAGTGACACGACGCTGCGCATTACTGGCAGAAGAAGACAAGGTTAGCAGCAAGACGTCTAATCAAATGTACCAAATCTAGGTCATGTTACAATACTCGCTACAATTAATGTTAAAAGAGGAAACTTAGAGTGTTCTAAGAGAAGCATGTGTGTTGATGACATCCACAGGTAGAACCAGCATCATCTACAAAAACTAGGGAGCAGCGAGCGCGAAAAGAAACTGTTTTCACAGCAAACTACGTACGAACGACAACAGAATGGTGCACGTAAATCGGTCCGGAGACGGGCAACGGCGACTGAGTGTGGCTGGCCCCCCCGGTGAGTGCCCCTGGACGGCGGAGCAGGCGAAGGGCCGCGGCCGGCGCCGGCAGTACGTACCACAGTCGAGCTCGTCCGAATCATCAGCGCAGTCCGAGCGGCCGTCGCACCAGACGGAGGCGCTCCGGCACTCGCCGCTGTTGCACCGCCGCTCGTCCTCCCGACACTCTGTCGACAAGCAGGGCTGACACTCAGACACTCGCCACGCCAGGTGGAGGCGCTCACCGCATCAGCAATCCCGCTGCCAAGACACTCCACTGACAGTCAGCCGCATGGGACAGCGGCCAGCACTCAGGCACCCATCGCCGTTGACACTCAGGGCCAGAACTTGACACTCTTCTCTTCCATAGCATGCATATACGCCTTCGGACAGAAGCATGGCTAGCCGAATATTGAACTTTGCTAGACCTTTCACACGTTTCACAACTATGCTGCTCCTTCCGTTTTGCATAGCATATCGAAAGTGTAGGCAAGCAGACCCATGCCAACGTTCTGCGCGTAGTTCGCGGTGATCAGTGCGGACTCTCGTCCAATCGGTGGAGCGATGCCGCGCGGGAAGCAAGGGCGAAGGACGCTACGAAAATCACGAGACAATGCGGTTGTGGTGCTACCGCCCCGAAGAAGAAAACATGGACGCCTCACTTTGACCAAAACGAGCTACTTGTATCGATCGGTCCAGCCTGAAAGGCACATTCTATGATATACAATGTGAAGTCACGTACATCATACGCACGCGACTAGAACTGAAACAGCTTAAACTTGTATGAATACGCATGCTTGGCTCCTACGTGTGGTGTAATTAAGTATCAGTATCACGTTACACAATATTTAAACGGAGGTTTGGACCCACATGTCAGCTTTACTTCAGCAAACTCTTGGGCTCATAATCCTGGCAGCTTATGCGCTGTTGCTCTGTTTTTTTTCGGACGTCAGCAAACGGAGCATGCAAGTGTGCGCTATCAGCTGTGCACTTATAGATAAAGAGACGCTTTTAAAGTTAGTATGAACTGGTAGCAGGCGCAACAAGTTGAATGGGAAAAATCTTAGATGCACCTGTTATTTATGCTATGAATGCTATTCTCTGCAATACTTACACTAAAAGGAACACTGAAAAATAAATATGCATCCGGATTGATACACTGACAGGTTGTCCAGGATGTGACACCAGCGATTATTTCTTGAAGGTCATTGGTTAGCATCGATCAGAAACAGGCAATGAACCGTAAGGAATAAAGTCGTACTAATATACTACTGCTTTTTGGAACTGATGATCTGCTGGATGCTGTGAAGCGAGTTTTGGTAGACATTCTGCATAAAATTTCACGTAGAATCAATAATATGTGTGCATGGATGTTGGAGTGGATTTATTCTGTCAACTTTCCAGATTGTGTGGAGCTTAACACACATCTTACACGATGTACCGTCAGTGGCTGCACCTGGTTTCCGCGCCTCAAATATGCTCCTCTGGCCACGAACACCATTCAGCTGAGTGTCGGCTTTGGCATCGTTCGAAAAGCGCGCGCGCCAACAACACATGCCCTCCAAGTGTCGCCAGCAACACAATCTGAGATGGCATGATGGCTGTCACTTAGACGCAAGCTCCATACAGGCATGTGAGAGCACAACTAAGACAAAGCGAAGGTTGTACTAACGCTATATGTACGTTGTTTTTTTCGGAAACTTCTTTCAATACAGGAACTGCCAGATACAGATTTCCGTTTTCGTAGGCATCATGCCCTTCAAAACCAGCATTTCATTAAGTGTTTCTCATGATAGCCGGCTGCACGTTCAGTGTGTGAGAGACAGATGGTGTCGTTGCTGCGAACATACTGTGGACATTAGTGGGAAACCACCTGCATGTGGATTTAACTAGGTGCCTTCTTTAAGCCCTTGAGCACGGACACCATGCTCCCCACAACGACAACCCGAAGGCTAGTTTCAGGTATATGATCGGAAGTGGACCTTTTTAATAAAAGTATCAGATCGTCCTACTGTCAACGGTACCCATTCAATCATTGTTTTCCACATTACACGATCTTCATTGGGGTAACAACAAAAATAAACCCCTGAAATTTGTCCATTTGTGGACCAGGTATATTCAATGTTAAACTGCGGTGACCAAGCGAGGGAGCGTGATGGCCAAGAAACTAACGTCTTCGGCTCCCACAAGGGGGAGGGGGGTCGAACCTCAACTGCGCCATGACCCTCGAGCGCTAATGTGTCCACGGGATTCGCTCGCGCTCCATAAAGAGATGCAGGAGGACATGACTCGCGCTCTCTGATAAAAGTAACCGAGCGAGTCCCTTCACCCTCGCACTTCGTCAAATGTTATGATTTCATGTTACACTTGCCATAGAATTTGCTGCTCTAATGATCTTAATACGCGCCCAGGTGGCCGGTTGGATACCCTTCGCTCCGGTGGGGGGGGGGGGATCAGTTTGACCCACTGGGATCTTAGGAACTAAGAGAGCTAAAAACACCAAAATTTCCAGGGTATGTTGATCTGCACAAGAACTCACTCGAATCAAAGTTTGATATTCTTAGGTCATGACCTTTGGGTCAAATAAGGTCAAACAAGGTCAAATTCCAGGTTGGTCTTCAAAGGGTCCTTAGAATCTGGATAAACATTCTAAGCAACAGGTCACATGCTCATTTAAGGTCAGTGACATTGCTGACCTTTCGAAGGTCATGATGACCAAAATTATACAAGACTGCTTTGAGTTTTTCATTTGAATAAGCCACAAATATTACGCTAGCCAGTATGTTCCTAAAAACAAAATGTTGACCTGGTTCATTTAAGGTTAGTGACCAATTCTGGACATTAAGAAGTTCATGGAAGGTGTCTTACGCGGTTCCTGTTATCAAAAAAATTCAAAATGAACACCAGAAACTAACCCATACAGCAAACCCTGTAGTACTAAAACAGGTTAGTTTTGACCTTGGTCTGACCTTTATACCTGAGCCTAGGTCAATTCATTTTGTTCACGCAATTGCTGTGTTGCCTGAGAAGGTATCTCAGGGATGTATGACTTCGTCTAACATTCTGTTGTTGCATCAAATTGAACGATTCTTTAGAAATTGCCTTCGCTGAAACCATGGCTTTGCTTTGACTTGCCATAGGCCAGCTATCTTACAAGGTGCATCTAAACTTGTGAAGCAAGAATATCGGCTATTTAATTGGCCGCAGCTGCGCAAAATTTGGCGCGGCTTCGCTGCGCCGTTCAGAAGCCATTTTGGAAAAGCATTCAGCGGTGTAATTTGACCCTCACCCGCGCGCGTGTTAACGCGACTGTTGCGACCGACCGCCGCTCCCGGTAATGATTATCACGCGAACAAACACAGTACAGCCTGCCATGTATGAAAAAGAGACCATAGCTGCTAATTTGAAAATAGCAAATCTCAGAGCCCCTCGGAGTCATGTGTAACCACATGCCTCTCACCAAACACCACACGTGTCATGCAGCAGGTGGACGCGGGTCAGTGCTCACATACCACGGACGGTGCGGCTTTTCCCGAATGCGACGGCCTCATCGTGTTAGCGACAAATCACTTGCATAACGTAATACGCAAGCAAACGACTGCGTGCGTTTTCTGCGTTAGCTACGTAAGACAACAGAAGGGTTATAGTGTAATATCAAACAAGCATCGGTGGAACCAGTCGGACCAGTGAGCCCTCACTAGAATGAACAGGAAAAATTACACTTCTTAAAAACATGTCTGAGAGGGGCAAAATGTTCATATCGGCGACGCCGATTAAAACTATGTCATGAAAATGTCAAATGCCCTACACTTTGGCTACAGGGTGCACTGATTCTCCCAGTCCTCTCTGGTAAATTGCCGACTACGGACAAAGGCTGCGTGTGTCAGACTCTGCGGCGCGCCGATTAGCCGCGAGGAGGCACGCGTCAAAGCAGCTGAGGCGCGTCAAGGCAGCGCGGGGCAAAGCAGCGCGGCAGAGGCGACTCGACAGCCAAGCCAGGCGCCCTAGAGTGGCCTGAACGGCGACGCGTCAGCCAAGCCAGGCGCCCCAGAGTGGCCTGAACGGCGACACGTCAGCCAAGCCAGGCACCCCAGAGTGGCCTGAACGGCGACGCGACAGCCAAGCCAGGCGCCCCAGAGTGGCCTGAACGGCGACGAGTCAGCGAGGCCCGGGCATGGCGCAGCGACCCGTCTGCGGGCTGTGTTAGGGAGAGGGGAGGCGTACTGCAGTCCTGCTCGTCTGAACTGTCGGCGCAGTCTGCGCTGCCGTCGCAGCGACGCTCGGCTGGCAGACAGGCTCCCGAGCGGCAGCGCCACTGGTCCGCACCGCAGTCTGCGGCGGTAGGGCCGTCAGCCGGCGCGACACGGTGCCCTCACAACAGCATTACACAGGGGCGCCGCCACAGCGGTGGCGCACAGCAGCATTGCCGCGGAAGCACAGCGACAGCAACCCTTCACCCGAGCTCGGTAAAACTTCCGCGACTGCACGCCGCCACAGCAGCCACGCCGCAGGAGCGCTCACCGCAGCCGTGTGACACCGCCGCCACAGCAACAGCACATAGCGGCAGTACACAGCGGCAGCACCGCAATCAGCCCCCACCCACGCGCGGCCAAGAAGCACAGCAGCGCGTCAAACACTCCTCGGCACCAGCCCCACCCACGCGCAGACCAGCAGCACGGCAGCGTCAAACACTCCTCGGTATCAGCCCCACCCACGCGCAGACCAGCAGCACGGCAGCGTCAAACGCTCCTCGGCATGAGCCCCATCCACGCGCAGACCAGCAGCACGGCAGCGTCAAACACTCCTCGGCATGAGCCCGACGCCCAGCCAAGGTCGTCAACATGGCCCGCCCGCCACAGCAACGGGCAAGAACAGGCCCGTAGACGGCACCGCAGCCGGAGCACCGCTTCGTGGTGGTCGGCCACTCAGCGGCGCCACCGAGGCAGGCTCGCGCGTCGTAGCAGTGCTTCCACCACAGCACCGCCCCAGGCAAGAGACGGAGGCGAGCTGACACGCCGTGACCCGGTGCACAGTGCCAGGGCACGATGTGTCAGCGTGCCGACTGTGACGGCGGGGTCAAACATTGGCAGCTGCGTCAGTCGCGCTAACCACGCCGCGCCGCCTACACACAGCGGCCCACGGCAGCAGGGCGTAGTATTGCGAGACACGAACGATCTGTCTGCAGGCCCGTTAATATCGTGTGATGGGTTTGTTATCCGCTACCAGCTCATGTACGTGCGGCCGGTTCGAGGAACAAGCCGCAGACCCTGGTCGGCGCTACTTGACCCGAGTTAATCTGTGTAAGCAGATCTCGTCACAGATTGGATAGATTGACGAATCAGGGTTATCCATGGATTTGATAGACCGACCCTGCTAAGGTCGAGGGACGATCCAGCGGATGCTCCTATTTCAGATCATGATAGCTTTACGGAAGCTTTGCGGGGCAACATTTTAAACACACAAAAAAAAACGCCTGACACCCACTTGGAACTCTTGCATTTTCGTTATTGAACTAAGTATTGCAGCTGGGACCCTCTGACTTCCCGGGAGAAGGCTGTTTGTAGTCAATTTAGGCCCCGTAAACGCTTGGCACTGTCCCCACTTTTTCCCAACACTACGCATGGCCCGCAAAGATATACTGTCTGTGATTTCTTTTCACTTTCTACAGTCTTCAAGTTCCCATGGGGTTGGCGGTTATTCCCCGTGGGGTCGGCGGGCAGTCCAGCAGTCTCGACAGACAGCCCCGTAGGTCAGCGTCGGTCCAGCGGCCGCTGCCAGCAGTGCCGGCGGCGTCGACGGGCAGCCCCCTGGTCTCGACGGACAGCCCCGTAGATCGGCGTCAGTCCCGCGGCCGCTGCCAACAGTGCCGGCGGCGTCGGCGGCCAGTCCAGCGCACACTTACCGCAGTCCTGCTCGTCGAAGCCGCCGGGGCAATCCCTGTAGCCGTCACACTTGCGGCGCAGGTCGACACAGCTGCCGTCCGAGCAGCGCAGCTGCAGTGGAGAGCAGGCTTCGGGAGCAGAGGAGTGCGGCGTTAGACAGCGCGGGCCAGACATCACACGCCAGACATCAGACGTCGGTCAGCGCCGCCAGCCGCCGACAGCCATCAGAGATCACGCCGCCGCTTGGAGCGGCGTTCAACTAAACGCAGACCAGCTTCCGACAGCAGCCGGGAATGGCGGCCGGTCGGAAGCGTATGCATGTAACCACGACCGCTGTCGGGCTGGAGAACGTACTCCGAGCATACACCGCTGCCAACGCGACATGGTACGACCCGGACCCCTGAAGCAGACGGTGGGGAGTGCTGGACTCTCCCGCGTCCGTCTGAGCTCTGGGCCGACTCAGGCCAATGTAGATCAGCTCTGTTCAGTCTGGAGCTGGTCCTGCTCACGGCAGTCTGAGCCTGTCCGGGTCTCAGTCCGATCTGGCTCACATCAGTCCGGTCTGGCTCACGTCAGGCTGGGTTAAATTCGTCGAGGTCAGTCTGCACCGATTCAAGTTAGTCTGAAGCCGTCCCAGTCCGTCTCGAGCAGCTCAGATTAGTGTGAACTTGGTCAAGTCGGTTGGGACTTACTCACATCGGCCTGAACGTGCTCAGGTCAACATGAACTTTCCCAAGTTAGTAAAAACCTGTTCTAGTCTGTCTAGATTTGGTGCGCATTTTGATTCTTCATGGCCATCTGATTCAGAGAACCCTCAGCAACTAAAAAAAGAAACCGCGCGCAAAAACCTTTTTTCTACGGCGCATTACTTGAGCTTTTGCGACACAATCTTATGTGAACAACGCGTGGCTAGGAAGGACGATTGTGCTTTTCAAACGACCCTATACGATGCGGGCAAATAATTGTTGGAGGTACCACACCTACCAGGGTACTCTTAACATACATGTGATCTCACGGAGTTACACCATGCAGGACATTGTCATTAATTGACGTAGTTGTGCTGGCCGTTGTATGCATTGAATGATTGCCGCTTCAAACGCCATTAACTACTTGCGCAGGGAAGCAGGCATAGAAAAGAGGCGGTAATATAAAGACCCCTATGACATATGAGTGGACATGCGCATAAGTTCATAATTTCCGAGCCAGACTGAGCAAGGAGAGGAAGGGAGGAGGGTGTGGAACAGGTATATATATATATATATATATATATATATATATATATATATATATATATAGTGCGTGAGAAAAGACGAAAAGGAAACACAATCACCGGAGGACGTACTCGAAATCAGCCCATAAGCCACACGGAAAAGGAAATGCCACAAGAGAACGGCATTGGCTGCAGCGGCCAGCACACAAATGATCTCCAAGTGCCACTGGAAAATGCAGAACCCGCCAAAAATGACAGAACTGTTCTACAGACACCGTCTTTAGTTGCAGCCCTGTAAAGCCGACTGCGAAGCGCCGGAAGCCGTCGCTTCAGTCCGGTCAACTGTACCGCGTCGTGCTGTCGAGCTAGCATTGACAGCGCGGACACAGAGCCGACGCGCGGCGGTGGGGTGGACGGCTGCGCTGACAATGAAGCTGCATAGCTGGTGGCGCCGCATGGCGATTTACTGCTACACTCGCGTTCAAGTGCAAGTCTGGCCAAATGGTGCCGGCCAGGCCGACGAGCGCCGCCGGTGTGCCTGACTACTAGTGCTCTCCCGATGGATGGCGCAGGTGATCTATACTGGACCACCGTCGTCCACCTGGTGCCAAGGCGGGTAAGCTGGTGCTCGGCTGATGGGCAGTGCAGGTGCGGTGATGCTCAGCTGGTGGTCAGGGTGCGGTTGTGCTACACCTGGCCGTCGGTGCTCAGCGGTGGGTGCAGACGAACTACAGCTAGCTACTGCCGCCGCGTGGCGTCCCCAGCAGGCCGGCCGACACGGCGGGCGGAGGGGGGCTCCGGGAGGTGCGAAAGCCTTGCTCGCTCTCTACGACTGGCGGCGGCGCCGGGCCGGGCTGGACCACTCACGGGCACGCTGACATTGCCTCGGGCTCTCATCCGAGTCATCCCCGGCGGGACAGTCGGCCACACCGTTGCACTTGAGGCTACTGTCGATACAGAGGCCCTCGTTGCACTGCCACTGGTCGGCCCGACACACTGTCGGCGGGCGGGCCGATTAGGCACGGGCCCGACAGGCCCTCTGGACGTAACATGTGGGCCAGTGGGACTTGCGGGCGCGACGTGTCGGTTCAACAGGTCTCGCGGTCCTGCGGTCCCACAGGCCTCGCGGTCCTGTGGCCCCACAGACCTCGTGGACTCGACACATGGGTCGACTCGACTAGACAGTCGACCTAACACGCCCCCCCTCTCCCACCCCCCTCCCACCCTCAGGACAGAATGTTGGCAGGTAGCAAGCAACGTGCGCAGCACTGTCTCAGCAAACTTGCACAGATATCGTGATATGATGTTATAATATATGATATGATATGTCATGATATATAAGTACCATCTTGAAAAGATGGTTCTTGAAAATAAGAGGGCGACTGCATGATGACTTTATACCGAGAGCAGACATCACGATACCTGAATACATAGGAAACCAGGCGGCGACGTTCGTCAGACTCACGAGAGCCTGTAGCCACTCACGTCAGTCAAGCTCGTCATCAGTCACTTACGACGTTCGACATTGGTGACTTACAGTAGTCACGTCATTATCTGTCACTCCTTGCAGTCACGCCCAAATAATCACCAGGGGCAGTCAAGCTTGGCGAAGCCCATCATTATAGCAAGGCTTCTCTTTGGTGACGTACGACAACATCTCTGGTCTGGCGGCCAAGTTCGTCATCACAGCCTGCCCTCTGAAGGAGGCACCTTCACGGCCAGTCGCTTACGACAGACTCGCTCGTCATCAGCCAGTTACGACAGTCCTGCTAGTCGTCGGCCGCGTACGACAGTTCCGTTCGCCGTTGATCACTTGCGACAGTCGCGTGCGTCGGCGACCACCTACGACAGCCCCACCCGTTGTCGGCCACGTACAACAGTCCCGCCCGTCGTCGGTAACTTACGACAGTCCGGCCCGCCATCAGCCACTTACGACAGTCCCACCCGTCGTCGGCCACTTGCAACAGTCCCGCCCGTCGTCAGCCATTTACGACAGTCCCACCTGTCGTCGGCCACTTACGACAGTCCCGTCCGTCGTCAGCGACTGTCCCACCCGTCGTCGGCTACTTGCAACAGTCCCGCCCGTCGTCGGCCCCTTACGACAGCCCCAACTGTCATCGGCCGCTTGCGACAGTCCCGACCGTCGTCGGCCACTTACGACAGTCCCGCTCGTCGTCGGCGCGCGGACAGTCCTCAAAGCCGTCGCATCGCTGCGACATGGGGAGGCAGAGCTCCGAGTCGGCGCACGAGAACTCGGCACGCTCCACACATTTTGGGTTGGCTAGAACACAGCACGGGTGGTCACCAAAGAGTCAGCAGCGCTGAAACACCCCCACGGAACGTCCCAGGAAACCGAAGGCTTCTTCTGTCTCCTCTGCCGCAGAAAACTGCTTAGCTACGGGACATCAGGACGGATGCGGTGATGGCCGAGTCGTGGGACTGAGGGATGGTAAATCCCCCAGCAATTTTGAGATGACGCGCTTAGTTTGTGTTGGCGGCCTACTGTGTGTATGTATCAGTTCTTTTGAACCTTCAGCACTGGCGGCGGAGCTTACAGCGGTCGTTATTGCAAACATGAGCCAACCGGATGTCATATTTGCACTCACAATCCACAAGTGTTGCTGCATATTATTGCTGAGAGGGCGTGTGACATATGTGCATGTTGCAGCACATTGGCATCTATTCTCACTCCACAACTCATTGTGCACCGCCAAAGGGAAGGAGGACAAAGCACGGAGCTACTGATAATAACACTCCTTGCAAGATGTGCATGCTCCGTTCTTTAGTGGTGGAAGAATTTAAACATTTGGCATGCAAATCAGCCGCCATGCAAAAGTTGAGCGAATTCTAGTGACGATGACTCAAGGAAATCACCATAACTGTTCTTTTTTCCAAACTCCGACGACCATTTGTCAGATCTGGAGGAAGGAGGCGGTGGCTGGCTCAATAAAAAGATTTGATGCCGGCACATCATCAGAACTGAAGCCAAACGTGGTCAAGAAACCGACCAGCACCTCACGAATCGGGCGGAATAGCTATCTTTCACTTTTGTTTGTCATTAGAGGGCTGCTTTAGACACGGCACGGGAGTTTAACCTCACGCGGCAAAGCCAATGGAGGGGTGCACAGAGGTTTTCCAGGGGGAAAGTGACAGTCGCTGTGGAGTTCAGCCGCACTGAAGACGATTGTGTTTCTCCTTTGGATAGGAGAAGTGGTTGCACTCAAGGGCACATCCTGACAAAGCACAGCGTAAGCCTTCACGGGATGTGATAGGCTGTGCGTGGGACGGACTGTGCGTGGTCATCCCGCAGAAAAACAAGATAGCATGAGCTGGGTGGTGCAAAGGTCCTTTATTCCGCAACCTGATTTATTCATTACACTATCGTTACTACGCAATACAAACCAATTCAGTGGCGAAACCAGGTTACAACCAAGCGGCAAGATCAGGGTCTTGCGCCACAGAAGGCCTACAAGGTAATTTGATTTTAACCGTGATAGCCGTCGCTCAAGAAAACGTATGAGGACGTCATCGTCGCCATGGAAGGGCCGGGTATCACAGTACTGAAGCCTATCCTCCCAGCCAGACATCTCAGAGCCGTGGTGGGAGAGACAACAGACCTGTCCACCGCGCTTGGGAAAGTGTGTCCATTGCCTTGATGAAGATTTCCACAACCGCCGCGGTGGAGGCAATGGACGCCTCCATCACACTAGGGGGAGCGGGTCCGTCTCCTAGACGGGAGTTTCGGCAGCCTCGGTGGTGGAGACAACAGACGTCTCCATCACGTCCGTGCCGACCGGGCCGTCTCCGGCCGGCCGGCCGCCGCAGCCCCTCCGCACAACACCAATCCATTAGACCAGCGATCTGTATAAAGCGGCGGAGAGGGGAGATTTATGGCGTGGCTGGCCATCTTCTGCTATATCCCAGCCCATTCAACATCGCCCCAGTCGGCAGTTACCGCTATCTGGGCGGCGGGCCGACGATTTGACGCAAAACCTTCGGCGCATAGAAAATAGCATCAAGGTGGATCGCGCTGCAGACTGAGCGGCCAGGCATTCAGTGCCGGCTGTGGGGCCGCCGGCTCGGCCCAGTGGCCAACAAGCGCCGGCGGGCCGAGATCGCAACACTGAACAACATCGGCCACCCGCTGGGAAATCGACGGCCGGCAGTGCCATCGCACTGCCGCCGTCCAATGATCCAATTTAGTCCTCCTGCAGATGCCACGCAGGGCGAGCGGCGGAAAAACACAGCCGGAGCGGACGTTTAATTCGTGCTGAGCTCTCCTCGATGCAGCCATGGAGACGTGGAGCGAGCCGGCCCCGCGGCCGGCGGCCCACAGATCTGGTCAGCGTTGCTCGCTCAATCAGACCTCGTTGAGCCGACGGCGACGAGCGGCGGCGCGACGGCGCGGCGGCGCGCCTGCCCGGCGGTCATGTTTGCCCCCGAAGCGTGATCTGTCAGCGGCTGTGTTGGCACAGCCGCTGACTGGGCGGGCGGCGCGGCCGTCGCGCCGCCGTTACGGCCCGCGCCGGCGCTGCCGGTCACGGCGACCACGGCGTAACGGCCGGCACGGGACACAGTCCGGCAGGTAACAGCCACAACACGGCAGACAGAGTCAGACGGCACACGGCGACGGCCATGGCTCGGCAACAGCAGAAACCGATCGGCATTCGATGGCTTCGGGCTGGAAAGCAGCATGGGACACAGCACGGCTTGGTATCGTCGACGTGCCGGCGGATAGTACTTCCCAGCATCCCGGCAGGCCTCACAGCCATAGCCCGGCAGGCCTCCCAGCCACAGCGCGGCAGGCCTCCCAGCCACAGCCCGAGGCCTCCCAGCCACGGCCCGGCAGGCTACCCAGCCACAGCCCGGCAGGCCTCCCAGCCACAGCCCGGCAGGCCTCCCAGCCACAGCCCAGCAGACCGCCCAGCCACAGCTCGGCAAGCCTCCCATCCAAAGCCCGGCGGGCCTCCCAGCTACAGCTCGGCGGCACCGGACTAGAGTCGCTGGCGGTAACAGGATCGCAACAGCGCCCAGAAATAGTTGGGGAATGTACTCTACCGTTTGCGCAATGCTGGAGGGCTGTCCTACTGCCTGGGCATTGCGGACGAGACTGTACCCCGCTGATATTGGCCATCGAGACTCGCATCCGCCTGCCTGAACATTATTAAGTTAAGGAATCCGCCGTATCAGCTGGCTGGTGTGAATGGGACATGGCTGGGCGTGCTGCCACGTCGCCCAGAAAGTGTTGGGTCCGGTCTTTTCATGAATGATGAAGCCGATTGTGCACGCAAGAAACCCGTTTGGGAACAGAACATGGATGTCTGGATGCAACAACAGGCAATATAACAACACTAGACACAACTGACAATATGTGCTTGCATGTGGATAGCTGCACGCTGGCAACGAATTTGCATGCGGATAATGCCTGAACGTGAGCGAATGGAGCCCACCGCCGGCGGAAACACACACCGATGGGACTTATCAATGCAATGGAATGTCCCACCTGCATGTGTTAAGCAGGCGGAGGGGCACTGGTGTTGGGCGCTCGTGCAGCATTAGCTGTCTGTGTTTGGGGCATTGGCTGGCTTCGTGCCTGGCTAACCGGATAATCCAAGTCGATGAGGCGAAAGAACTTGATAAGTGTACGTTTTTTTGTGACCAGGCCGATAGTGCTGAAAAAATGCAAAATTGAGCCGATAACAGTCACAATAACTGGGCTTTTCACCCAAGTATGTGTGGCTGTCACGGCTCGATCTGTCTCAGTTCAGGAGACACTGCATTGTATACACGGCCGACTTCAGAAAAGGCGACATTTTCGAGTTCCAGGTGTACTGCTCGTATACGTATGGGCCAAGTATGTAAAAATCGCCCTACGATTTGTAGACGTGCGTTCGCCTGCATACACACTTTCGCCACGTTGATTTTCCGTTTTCTTCCCGGGCGATATTAGCTAGCCCCCTGCTGATGCGACGCCTGGCTGTCCAAACCTGGTTCTGTTTCCGACCACATGCTCTCAGACCTTTCGCGATTTGAAAATTACATGTCTATCGTGCCAATCGAATGGGGAAGTGAAATGGTGGTGACGTTGTAACGCTGGGGAGATGCCCTGCCTAATCAAGCAGCACAGCACTGACATTTCTAAAAGAATACTGCACCACAACGTTCAAGGATTGTGCTTCTTGTTGCTGAAACTCTCTTGGTAGTGCGGTTAGTGATTGCAAAAGTGTCAGCTCTTCAAAAGCGTGACTGGCCAGGCCGGGCCCAGCCAGTAAAGTCACAGAATTGTTGACCAAATCGATTAAATTTATCAAATTGTGACAGTAATGCTCACTCGATCTGCGACCTCACTCATAAAAGCCCCCTACAAAACAACGCTTAAATGTACGTCATGATGAAAGTAACTGTTCAACTAAAGCTACAGCTAACACGACTGGCGTTGTGGTCCAAGTGTAATGAAGCAAGAGTTCCGCTGCCCGCAGCTATTGTTTTATACATTTTCCGTAGTACCCCCTTCGGCGATTTTTGTCAGGGCGGGTGGGCGGGTCACTGGGTGGGGAGAGTTCATCGGGACTTTGAGCGGGTTTCCATATCCGGGCAGAACGTTCCTCACGTGCCAGGACGGAGGCACGCGGGCTGCCCCACAAACCCAGCCGCAGCGGGTATGGATTGTTGGGCCGGGCACAAGTCTGTGCTCCCATCTGTCCATGCCATAAGGACACTTCCTGTCACGCCACGGCTCTGAAAAGTGCGGAACAGCCAGCACTTGGGCTGCGTCAACATACGCCGCATAAACGCCATGATATGTGGCGATACCGCTTCGGTTCGGTGTTTGCCCACCCACCACGTATTGGTACAAGTCCGCCGCCGGCCAAGGTCCTTCTCAGTGCAAACCCAGTCAATTTGGCTGAGGGACAGGGACAATGGAGGGGTGACTTGCACCGCCGAACCTCTCCACGCCCACTCGTCCGATGAGAATGTGAAATTGCGCGCCGCGCCAGGCGGCGAGATGCTGCAGGCCGCCGGCCATTCAGTCAGCTTGTGCATGCTGTGAGCTTGGCACGCAAATAACCTGGGTGCAGATAGGCCTGGCGATATGAGGGCTCGCGATGCTAGTGACCAGAGGAATAGCGACGCACAGACGAGTCCAGGCGACACGCCGTCCAGGAATGCGAGCTCGTAGATAACGAGACCGGCCTACTAGGTCCCGTGCAAATGAGCTCGTCGCGTGTTGTCACTGTCGCCAGGCCGGTGGGAAAATCTCAGACACAAATGACAGGCGCAAAGACGAGGCTTTGGAAGCTCCGGAGCGTTAAAGTTCATCCAAGTGAGGTAGTTCCGTCAGGAGAGACGTGCCATGCCAGAGACGAGCTCACACCGCCCACGTCTGAGCGTCGTTTGCTCGTGCCATCGGAATGTAAAATGCGAGCACTCCAAGCAAAAAGTCAGACCGAGACGTGGCGTCGTTCGCTCGTGCCATCGGAAAGTAAAATACGAGCACTCCGAACGAAAAGTCAGAGCGAGGCGCGGCGTTGTTCGCTCGTGCCATCGGAAAGTAAACTACGAACACTCAGCACACAAAGTCAGAGCGAGGCGTGGCATCGGACGCTCAGTCTGAGCAGGGCTCAGAGCCCGCCGCAGTCTGAGCTCAGTCTGAGCGGCCTGCAGCCCACCAGGAGGGTATTCACCGTCCGCTGAGTGGGTGACCTCCGTGGTCAGGTGTCGGAAGGAGGCGCCGCTTGTGGCCGGGTGTCCGGTGACTGGGCGGCGCCGACTCAGACGGGGTCAGTCGCCAGCCTGCTGGTTGGATCACATGCTCGATCGACGCCCGCCGACTCGAGCGCCCGCCGCCCGGGGCTGTAATCTGACCGCTACTGGCCGAGCCGGATGACTCATGGGCTCGCACGCACGCATGGCGAGGAATTTAGCGCCAGCGATCCTGCAGGCCCGGACGAGGTGTGTATGTAGGTCCTGGCCGCCCAATTGCGCCCGTGCAGGTGACGCCCCACATGGCTGTGGCTGCGGTCAGGACGAAAGGAAAGACGGGCGCTGAGGCTGGCCGGCAGCCAGCCGAGCCCCCGGCAACCGTGTGCCGACCAGCCTGGTGTACCGCACTATCTGAACATGAAAGGAGTCGCGCACGTGACTTCCTGAACATGGCAGGAGCCGGCGTGACGCCAGGTGACCTGAGGGTGGGGGTCACCACCCGAATACCACATCTCCAGGCGGTGTTCCTGGACAATTCTCTTTTTAAGAACACGAGCCACATGATCCCCATAGCCTGCTCGATTCGCGGTCATCACACGCTCCGTGTTGAGTGATCATGCTGCGGGCAGCAGGTAGTCAAATGAGCCTCGCGCTGCACCTTGACAGCGATCCCCGACTGGCAGCGCTCCTAATCTGACACCGGTGAGTGAGACGGAGCGGGAGGAGCGCCGGCGCCCACTGACGGCTTCCGGTGGCAGGGCCGGCGGCGCCGCCGGCTGCCGGCGTGCTAGACATCACTGACGGCGCCTGGACAGGAGAATACAATGACCCTGACGGGACTCCGATTACAATGGCGGCAACTGGACACCCGCGGCGGGCACGGACACACGTCGGCTGCAGGGACACGCGCCGGACACGGCGCCGGCTCTCGCGCCGGCGCCACGCGGCACGCACCACCGCCGCGTCCAACGACCGCTGCAATGAGCTGCACGGTCGTTTGCAGCGGCCTTTCATTGCGGTACACGTCATGAATCGCTTACCGCCATTCATTACGAAACTGAAATGTTTAGTGTTGCGCGACACCGTGCCGTAAAAGCTTTATATTTAGGGACAGGTTCTACAAAATTGTGCTTACTCTGCGTGAAAACATTCAGCTTCAAAAATCTACACATACCGAAAGGTCCACACAAGCATCGTGCCCTCGCTGCCCATGGGTCTAAAGTATGATCGTCTTGAGAAACAAAATGAAAGACTCACGTCATATGCGCGATAATAAGCCACGTTCGTTTGACGTTAACGTATGTTCTCAGATGGCAGCACGCAGTCGCTAATCATGGACATTGAACAGCGCTCAAAAGTGCTCAAGGCGTGGCAAAGAGCTATGTTTGTAGTCTGTCGGTTGTCGTCGGACATTCTGCCGACATCACATATAACCATTGAAAGCTGCCAACAGGGCGTAATGTGAGAGCTGCTTCTGCTAATAACTGCTGAGTGTCGGAACGAGGTTATCATTGGCTAGCTGGAGGAGCCTTCTGCTGCAGCCCTACACCGATTCGTGGATTTGAGGTGGGCTACCGGGCTGATGTTCCCCCTTCCTTGCTACAAACAGTAGGAGATGTTTGCGACGCCAGCGGCCAGGGCGGTTATGTGCGTCTAAAAATAGCTTAGCATTGCTGCGCTTCAGACCGCCACATGATGATGCTCATACAGTAGAGAATTGAAAAACAAAGGCGCCTCCCAGTCACACCTCTCATGCTCACAATCGACACGCCCATTGGTAATGACGTACCTAAAAACGAGAGCATAGCAAGCGTCAACGACGCGTAACAGACACTGGTGCAGGCTGTGAAAAAGTGACGGTTGACAGCGCCAGTGTGTGTCACTGATAGAGGAGCTGCCGGCGACGCCTGCCTCTGCCTGAGGCCGGCGGCCGACGCGTCCGGCAGTGCGTCACTCACGCTCCAGCGGGGCCTGGGCCCGCAGGCCACCGAGGCCGACCAGCAGCAGCAGCCAGGTCAGCTGCATGGTGACAGGTCGTGACCTGAGGTCCGCCTGTGAGCGACGCCGGGGACCGACGAGCGGGGCACGGGCCAACCAGGAGCCGGCACCCCCGCGACCGTCCGCGGCGGAGGGTCGGGGCTGACTGACATGGCAGCGGCCGGCACCGAAGCCGCTCGGCGGCCGTCATCAGCGCCAGGGGGCGCGGCATCGAGACCGACTGATCCCCCTCCCCGCCCACACCTACCGACAGCGGGGCACCCACAACAGAGAGCGTGGCACCGGGGCCGACTGATCCCCTTCCCCGCTCACACCTACCGACAGCGGGGCACCCACAACAGAGAGCGTGGCACCGGGGCCGAGTGATCCCCTTCCCCGCCCACACCTACCGACAGCGGGGCACCCACAACAGAGAGCGTGGTACCGGGGCCGACTGATCCCCCTCCCCGCTCACACCTACCGACAGCGGGGCACCCACAACAGAGAGCGTGGTACCGGGGCCGACTGATCCCCTTCCCCGCTCACACCTACCGACAGTGGGGCACCCACAACAGAGAGCGTGGCACCGGGGCCGAGTGATCCCCTTCCCCGCCCACACCTACCGACAGCGGGGCACCCACAACAGAGAGCGTGGCACCGGGGCCGACTGATCCCCCGCCCACCTCCCGACCGTGGGTCAGCCACACCACCAGACCGTCACTGGCTAACCCCACCACCAGATCGCCGATGGTCACCTCCACCACCCCTATCATGACAATCACAACAGGAGACACAGGACTACGACAAGCTGACTAACCACACACCAAGCGAGCGGATGCGACAGCAATTACCGGACCGACCGCAGCTCCCGAAAAGTGTTAATGGGGATTGAACGACCATAACGCCCTAGAAAGGGGGTGATGGAGGGTGATATCACCTGGCAACCTTCTATTAAGCCTGCCGCGTGCAAACGAGAACTAAGTTAAGGGAGACAGGACGCAAAGGCCGCTGGGCACACACATATACAGCATACGCTGTACTGTATATGTGCATGCACTGAATATGAAAAAAAACATTCCAGAGGGCGTGGACCGTGGCTCTGAAAAAGTAGGTGAAGACCACCGACGTGAAACCAGCAAGACTTCCCAAAAATGACCGGCTGTCGAATGCGAACACCAGCCCAATATGAACGGCACCGAGCGAGCCGGTGCCGAGAACACCAGCCCAATATGAACGGCACCGAGCGAGCCGGCGCCGAGTCACTGTGGTACGTGTGCTACGTACCAGCGTGGTGTGTTCCTAACGGATGGGCACTGGGAAATGACACACTTCATGTGTATTTCTTGAACATCGCGTATGTCACTACCGGCAATTGGCATGACAATTCTGCCCATGTTTAGCTTCGAAATCATGTAAACGAATTCAAGAACCGAGTTCCGTTTGCAGTCAACGTCTTATTTGGAGTCATTGAAGTATTGAGTTGCCCTGGCAGCATAAAGACAATATCCAGGTAAGGCGCCCGTAAGATTGTCGCGAGACTTGCGATCATTCATTGGGAGCCACTGTAAACCCTTCAGGATCCCGCAAGCGACTGTTTACAGAACACAAGCAATTCCCAAGGGTCGTGACGATGTTCCTCTCGTTGGAAATCACTCCAAAATAGCCGAAATAAGCATCAAAGGATAGCGGCAGCTGGGTTGAACTGCAGTTGGAAAACGAGGGGCGACACAGCAAACCCTGGATGCGAGGTTTGTAATCTCGACGGTGTACGCGAGAAATATCTTGACAGCAAGCGCGGTTCAGTGCCGCAGGTGTGAGAAGGCAAGCGAGGGTCCAAGTTACCCTGAAACAAAACATGGCCCAAAAACCCGTACCAGAAAAATTTCGCATGTCAGCTCGAATTGATTGCGATATCATTCTGAAAGTCGAAACCGATTTAAGATATCACGGGAGTTACGTACCAGAAAACCTTGGACGCTACGTTGCATCTGGTGGACACTGCCTAGCTGAAGTGTAACTGAGAGCGGAGAGGCTGCTCCCCGTAAAGCTATGGTAGGACACGCCATTCCTCCCGGGGTGTGACACATCCAGTTATATCCAGTTACCGTGCCGAGCTAGTGCTGTGTTGAGGACAACATGAGCCATGGGAAGCGTGTAAGAAATGCACCCATCACCTGTTTGGGTGAGCTATAACCCGACATACATGAGCTGTTCTGGCCAGACTTGACCAAAGCTAATTGAGCTTAGATAAACTCGCGAGTTCTTCGAAGAGGCAAAGTGCCGCATGTGCCACATGAAAACATCCCCCATGTGCTCCAACTACGTCCTGTTGTGAACGTTTGAGGCATCACTAAAAATGAAGTGCATCAGGGGGAGGGGGCTGGCATACAGCATGCGACTTCGCCCCGAAGCGCACGACGCACCAGGCTGACCACTGACCTGCACCCAGATGTGCCACTCAAAAGATCGGCGCACGTGCCAGACGTGTGCACGCTGCCGACAAAGTGGGTGTGATCGGGCTCATGCATTGTGCAAAAAGCGGCTGCAACACCCAGAGATTTCCCATAGCCAAATTTTATATTGCTACAGTAATAGCCGTGCTCACAGTACGACTTTGAACATATTCCTATTTAGCAGGGACCCCCGCTTTATAGCACAGACGCCTGTCTTGCGTCGAGCTCCGCGATCATTAAGCGGTATGCGCACCAGTTGTATTTACTAATATGCTGTGGACACATACCAAAACTGCGGCGGAACATGCTGATTTAGAATAAACACCAGCGGAGCATATGGGATGGTGTGGGCATCAGTGAAACATACCAAGACGGAATAAACACCAGTGAAACGTACCGAGGTGGTACGGATCAGTCTACGTACTACTACGGCGTGTACGAGGGCGGTATGAGCGCCACCGAAACTCCAAAATAGGAGAGCACACCAGGAGGGACTTATCAATCTAGCTTATCGATCTAGAAAAAATAGGAGAGCACACCAGGAGAGCTTATCAATCTAGAAAAAATAGGAAAGCATACAAGGGGAGCTTATCAATCTAGAAAAAATAGGAGAGCACACCAGGAGAGCCTATCAATCTAGCAAAACATAGGAAAGCACACCAGGGGAGATTATCAATCTAGAAAAAAATAGGAGAGCACACCAGGAGAGCTTATCAATCTAGCAAAAAATAGGAGAGCATACCAGCGGAGCTTATCAATCTAGAAAAACAGGGGAGCATACCAGGGGAGCTTATCAATCTAGAAAGGACACCCACGCGGTTTCCAGTGTGAATCAACTGGGTGCGGGCTTCCATGGGCCGTCGGTGCGGGCAAGTAGGAAAATGGCGTCCGTCGTCGTGGCACAGTCAGAAAGTGACAGGGAAGTGCCGGAATGCGCATATCAAACGGCTCCTCGGTGGAAAGCCCTGGTCCAGTTAGGTGTGTCAAACCTTCGTTTTGCGATCGCAGTTGCTTCTTACACGCTCACGCATACCATAACATCAAGTAACATTCACCGTTTACTCCGTATAAGTAGCTAGTTGTTGCCTGCAGGCCAACTGTTTAAGGAGATTGCACAGGTTTTCTGTCCTCAAAAAGGACGCGGTCCTGTGATTTTCCTCCAGCTGCAAATAGGTCCGAGCCCTATAAGAGTTACGCCGATGCTCATGAGGTTCACTGAGTTGGCAATTGTTAGCATCGGAACGTAAGCAATTTGCAATGTCTGTCGAAGAAACCGAGTCTCAAGTATAGGTTTTTTGTCCAATGCTACGAAACACTTCACTTCATCTTTCATCAAAGAGCAAACTACTTATTCTGCGCGTCAAAAAGTATCACATTATAACAGAAGCTTTTAGAAATACAATAGCCCAAATCACGTCCTGATTTCTATACGTTGGGTGCTATTAATGATATACATGCATTAACATAGTAGAGATGGGCAGCTGTGCACTAGCCGGTTCTGCAGGAAGTACGAGGTTGCATTACCGCATTTGACATTAGGGATGTGCAGCTGTGAGTCAACTGACTCTGCAGAAAGTACGAGGCTGTATTACCGCACATTGTGCAATGCTATTACGTGTGAATGAAGCCATTTCCACAAGGAAAAGTGTTGCCGCCATTGGTGTTCTACAGCATTGGTTCACAAATTTATACAACTAACTCTGTTTTATGGCAAAATGTTCAATTCCTTTGGAGATAAAATGTTTCTACTGCTGACAAAATGTCTCTGATTGCTTGCAAAAGCACCACCGGCATCCTCTGATATGACATCGAGTCCTTCTTTCAGCGACCGACAAAGCTTGCGACAGGCTGCGGATGAGCCGGGCGGCTGGTGTAATCGTTAGTTGTCATTGTCCTGACAGCTGGCGGACACGGCCTCAGGGCTCGGCTGATGAGGAGGAGCAGGGTGGGTCCAATTTGTCCGTCAGGCGCCGTGTGCGCCCACTGCGTTACATCAGGTCACTGTGACTCTGCAGCCTGCAAGTCGCGTCTCGGCTGTTGCAGCTGTTGCCATGACGACTGATCGGGGGTGGGGTGCCGGGAGGGGGGGGGGGTGGAGGCGTCGTGTGCACGCCGCCCCCCCCCCCTTCCCCGCCGGCAGGGGGTGGGGGGGAGGAGGACTCCGATCATGCCGCCGCCGGTCAATATTTACAGAGGCTGCAGGAGAGGAGAGATGGACGGCCCACCGCCGCTTTGTTGGCGGTCTGGGCGCCGCACAGCCCACCGGCGGCGGCCGCCGGACGGCCTGTGCAGCTGACTTCCATGAGGCCGCACGTTCGCCATCCACAGCGCCGCGGCCGGAACTGCCGGGACGCTCTCGAATCCCCAGCTAATGATTCATCGCCCGTCTGACCCACAGCGGAGCGTGCACGGTGCTCTGCAGAGGTAAACACCAACAGCGCTGATGACCACTGCTGAGGGCGGAGATTATCTCGTCATTCACAGTTGACAGCGCTGTTCATGGAAACTACCAGAGTAGACTGATGCAGCAGGAAATAGATCCGCTAGATCGGCCAATGCCGATATATTGATGATTCGACCAAACAGACCAAATGGATGAAATAGCATGCAAGGACCGCAACATCTAATTCTCCTGAACAAAGAGACCGATACTGCGAACTAAGTGTGTGACAGTCACGCCAAGATGAGAAGCCGACGAAGATCAACCAATTTCTTTCGTGG